TTCGGACCCCGCGGACTCCACTCCTCGGCTCCGCCTCTTGTGACTTATGAAAATCATTCACATTGTGTTGGCGTCGGAGACCCGAGTGTGATAACATGAAAACCTCCCACCCCCGCCCCGGCGCCGCGGTACTCACTTTGCACACGGAGGCCTGCAGGACGGCATCGAAGGCTCCTTCGGGGGCGTCGCGGTTTCGGGACACGAGCTGGTTCTGCACTTTGGCGTTGAACTTGCTGACTTTGTCGGTGAGCGAGAGGACGTGCCGGAAGCCGAAGGACGGAATGCAGTTCGGGAACGGTTTGAATCTGCAAATAAAAACAAACAAACGAGGACACGTCAGTCCCTAAACACAGTGCGCCCGTAGGGATCAGAGCCAGACGTCGGGGGAAACATTCACACCGAGGCCCGGTTGGGGTTCTTGTGGGAGATACAGGCGGTAGAGCGCTCCAATCAGCACAAGTTCTGCTGAGCGTCAGATCTTTAGTTCACCAATCTCTATAGGGAAGCAGTGGTCTCTCTGCCGAGGTCTGACATACTCCCTGCTGGTTGGAGAGCTCTCTGTAGGGAAGCAGTGGTCTCTCTGCCGAGGTCTGACATACTCCCTGCTGGTTGGAGCGCTCTCTGTAGGGAAGCAGTGGTCTCTCTGCCGAGGTCTGACATACTCCCTGCTGGTTGGAGAGCTCTCTGTAGGGAAGCAGTGGTCTCTCTGCCGAGGTCTGACATACTCCCTGCTGGTTGGAGCGCTCTCTATAGGGAAGCAGTGGTCTCTCTGCCGAGGTCTGACATACTCCCTGCTGGTTGAAGAGCTCTCTATAGGGAAGCAGTGGTCTCTCTGCCGAGGTCCGACATACTCCCTGCTGGTTGGAGCGCTCTCTGTAGGGAAGCAGTGGTCTCTCTGCCGAGGTCTGACATACTCCCTGCTGGTTGGAGTTCTCTCTGTAGGGAAGCAGTGGTCTCTCTGCCGAGGTCTGATATACTCCCTGCTGGTTGGAGCGCTCTCTGTAGGGAAGCAGTGGTCTCTCTGCCGAGGTCTGACATACTCCCTGCTGGTTGGAGAGCTCTCTGTAGGGAAGCAGTGGTCTCTCTGCCGAGGTCCGACATACTCCCTGCACAGAGACCACTGCTTCCACACAGAGCACAGCACGCTGGCAGGGGACGGGCTTCTCCACTCAGGCTGTGGCTGCCGTCACACTCCTTTAGTTCCGACGCTCCCGGAATATAATTTGGGGCCCGGTCGGGAGCTACACCCGGTGCGGCGTGTATGGGTGGCCGGGGTCGGAGGGGATCCGTTGGCTGCGCACATGTCTCCGCAGCCTCCAGTCGTCGGTTGTTTTTCTGCTGCTAGACAAGATAAAATATGAACAGATGTGTAACAGTCTCAGTTCACGTAACCTAGCCTCCATGTGCCGGCCTCCACTCACCCGGTGCAGGGGTTGTTCTGGTATTTGGGGGCCGTGTAGGAGAACGGGGAGACGTTCTTGTCCACGAAAGTGCCGAACCCGAGCCGGAAATTGCTGGTGAGCTTCGCCATCTCTTCCGCCAGCCGCGTTGCCGGGGAGACAATTTCTGACTTTGCTTAGTCCAGAGGAACCAACAAATCACTGAAGACGCCTAATGACTTAGTTATCTCTCCCTGTGCTGAGTTCCCGGGTCTGTACACCCGCTTTCCCATTATGAGGGGCCCCCACCATCTCTGTGCTGAGTTCCCGGGTCTGTACACCCGCTGTGCCCATTATGAGGGGCCCCCACCATCTCTGTGCTGAGTTCCCGGGTCTGTACACCCGCTGTGCCCATTATGAGGGGCCCCCACCATCTCTGTGCTGAGTTCCCGGGTCTGTACACCCGCTGTGCCCATTATGAGGGGCCCCCACCATCCCTGTGCTGAGGGTCACTGACCTGGCCGCAGGGACACGGAGAGGCTCTGTGGGGTGACCTGGATGATGTCGGATTGGGATGAGCCGGAGCCTTTGCTGCTGAGAGGAAGTTTCTTCGTTACGGTGACTCTGCTTTTGGGGCCCTCAATAGACTCGGCTCTGCAGCCCTTACTGAGAAGATTCTCCATCAGGTCACAGCGCGACACCACCGTCCGGGACCCTCCATAGTCCTGCACAGATATAGAGACATCAGAATGTGAGTGTGACCGACAGACCCTCCCCCGAGACACAGAAATCATATAAACCCAGGAGCAATAACCTCCGTCCTCCGCTCCAGTCTTCTCTCTGACCTCCGTCCTTCCCTTCAGTCTTCTATCTGACCTCCGTCCTTCCCTTCAGTCTTCTATCTGACCTCCGTCCTCCCCTTCAGTCTTCTATCTGAACTCTGTCCTCCCCTTCAGTCTTGCACAGTTATATCGGCTCCTCTGATATCACTGCATGGAGGACGCTGAGCATCAATAATTTCTGGTCCCATCATTATTATTATTATACAGGATTTATATGGCGCCAACAGTGTGCGCAGCGCTGTACAATATAGGGAAGACATTACAATCACAATACAAGATAAGGATAGTCTGAGATTTTTTGGAGAAGAGCGGAGGACCAGGGAGAAGAGCGGAGGACCAGGGAGAAGAGCGGAGGACCAGGGAGAAGAGCGGAGGACCAGGGAGAAGAGCGGAGGACCAGGTATTGTGCAAAACAAAAACTGTAATAAAAATTATCCTCAAACCCAGAAAATGAAAGAAAGGAATCTCTATACACCCGACAGGCCGGGGATCAGCTGATCAATCCTCGAAAGAATCTCCCTCCTCTGCGCTCTTCAATAACAGGAAATGTTGGAGTGTTGTGCAGATAAATATCCCCCGTGTGTCCTCCTATCTGGTGATTGCCGGGTACCGGGAACACGCCTACAGTGGCCGATGTAACCTTACTGTCGAGTGATCAGACATTCCCCAACGTTCAGTAGTCACAATGGAAGGAAGTACGTCCCATGGATAGGGCAGAGGGCCCCGGGGTCCCCAATCCCAGCAACAACAAAGGCAACTGCATAAAGGTGGTGTTACATCTCAGTGCTGCTGATCTCCTGCATCCTCTTTGCAGCCACTTCCCGGTGGCTGCATGGTAATTCTCAGGGCGGGTTTCCTGATGGTGACAACAGTGGACAATGTCTCTGCAATGCAAGGCGTGACACATCCCAGGAGCCGGGTAGATAATACTCCGTAATAATGACAGCTGAGGTCTAACTTCTGAGGTTTTCTTTAGTTGTCGTCAATGGAATTCCCTCAAAAATCCTGCTGCCCCCCTGGATTCCATATTCATGTA